TTTGGTAACCGTGTCTCTAGTTAGACTCTGTGTTTCACAGAATGGATGCATGCAAATGGGATTTTAGTGTGTGAAACCACTTTCCTCTTTGATGGATTTTCATGACAATATCAGATTCTCATAATGTTCATTTGGGATTACCTTCAAGTGGTAATAGTTCCTTCCTTTTATATTTATGATTCTCCATTTGACATTTGCCATCAAATGATCTGTAAAAGAAAATCCACTTAAGTCTATGAGGGAGGGTTATTTAATGCTCAATAAAGGACGGCTCTTATTACCATGGCATTTTTAAGAAGGGCTGCCTGAACATTTCTCTTATGACATAATAAAATGCAAAATAGCAGGGCCACTTCCTGTCTCAGTTTCTGCAAGGAAACGGCAGTATTTTGGGAAAACAGCATAAGAAATATCTGTAGTAGTACAATGTGTAATTTGAATAGGGCTGGGTTCCCTCCTGGTGGGGAGGTCCGGGCATTACACTGGGAACATCGGCAGAGCCCTGTGTTGTGTCTTGGTTGTTGGATGAAGGTTTTGCCCAGCAGGGAAGTCTAACTACCTGGGGCCATTTTGCTGCTGTGCTCTTTGTTCTGAGAGAAAATGGATGCATGGAGAGATGGGTGATGGGTAGGTGCACAGATAACGGTAGCAGATGATGGCAACTGCCCAGCCTGACGGACTTTGATCCTCACTCCCCCAGGCTGCCCCACGCCTCTGAGGCCAGACCTCCCCAGCCCGCCCAACCACGCAGGACTTTGCAGTTATGGTTGTGGGGGTCCTCGCACCTCCTGAGCTATTTGGCCAGGAAATCAAGTTTCCTCTCTTTTTCCAGGGAGTTGGCAATCATGATTATTTCACATCAAACTTTTACATACCTTTTTTTACATTAAAGAGGTATGAATAATCTCTTGACATTCTCCTGGTTGGCTTCAGAATTTTTTCATTTAGGGATACAGAGAAATGATAAAATTCCACAATCCTAGACACAACAGACACAAATAATGACTGTGCAGTCCTGGGCCATTTACAAAGTGTTCTGGTGAAACACTGCTCACCCAGGCTGACAAAAGCCACTGTCAGGAACTGGGGGTGCCTATGCATTTTGCCTACTAGCAGAATCCTGGATAAAAATGTCAGGTAAAGCTCACCCAGTCCAGACAGAAGCCTGCAGATATCTTTATGAAGCCACCAATGGAAGGATGGTGTGAATGGCTGCAGGGTGATTGGGAAGTGGGATGGGTGCTCATTTATATCTACTGTCCCTCCCAAGGAAGAAGCTGCAGAGGCCCCGCGCCTGCAGCACCTCCTGGTCATCGAGCCTGGGGACACTCTTCTTTTGTGCCTTCTCAGGTTATAACCACATGCCCCATGAGTCGGGGGCTGCACTGCCTTAGGTACAGTCTCTATGCCTTGTGCTGCTGAGCGGGGCTCACACCATCCAGTGACAAGGCCAGCAAATGCCACCTGCCAGCCAAGTGCCTGGGGAGGGCCTGATGCCTGGGCACCCCTGCCTCGCTGTGCTCGTCAGCCCCTCTGGAAAGCACCCCCTTGCCCTCTGCATCAGGGCCTACGCACCCGAGGCCTCACCACTCAGCAGATGCTGGGCCCCAGGGCTGGGGAGCCATGTGGCTGCCCCACACCCATTTGCAGCTCTGGCCATCTTGCCCAACACCGCTGGGCCTGCAGCTTAATTGACAGCATGGCCTTGATCTGATGTAACACCGGAAGCTATGAGGAGCAGGCTTTTTGGAAATGGTTTTAATTCTTCACTTTTGACATGAGCAAACAGACCCAGACAAGCTGTGAAACTCCCAGAGTCACAGAGCAGTCGAAGGCCCCCCAAATCCACTCTAATCTGGACCCACCCCCTGCTTCTGTAGCTGCCTGATGGGGAGGGGAAATGAGGGCTCGGAGGGAGGGAGGGAGTCAGCCTCATCTCTGAGGGGCTGACGGGCACTGCTGGCCAGGTCTTGGTGTGGGCACTGCTGTAGGCACACAGGGGCTCAGGAGCCCACGCAGAGCTCCCTGGCTCGAGAATCCATCAGTGGGGGCTCCCGAGGAGCTGCACACCTGGAGATGCCCACCCTGGATGGCCCCTTCTCTCTACCCCAGCCATGCCTGCAGCCCGCCCCATTACACAGCACCCCCTTACCTCATCCAGATGGGCTGCGTTTTCCATCAAGGACAGAGCCTCCCCTTCTTCATGTGTTGCCTGCAGAAGGTGCCCTTTGGTGGCCTCGTGGAGGCTTTGCCATGGCACCTCCTGGCCTCCCTGTGTAGAGGCCTGGGGGTGCAAGTGGGCTTCTCTCCCTGGGCTTCAGCAGCAGAAAGGGTCCCTGGTGCTGCTGGTGGGTGCCCTACCTCTGCCCGGTGGTTACGGAGAAGGGAGGTGCTCACGTGGCCACCTGCACCTGCTTGTGCCATCAGCCAGGTCATGGGAGGGGCCTTTGGCAGGCAGCTTGACTACTTGGATTTTAACACTCTTTTTTCAAACAAGGGAGGAATCTATAGATCACTTTTGGCTGAAGATATTTGTTTAAGATATAATTTGAAGTTTAGTCTTATGACCTGTCCTTACGGTTACATTATATATACCCTAAATATACATAATTTTCTGCATCTTCCTTTATCAGTTGTCAAAAAATAATAATGCTGTTTTTCTCCATTGTTATAAAAGGGAAAAGGTGAATCAGACTCTTCAAAAACTTCAGGTTGCAGAAACATTTTGAATCTAAAAGAGAAATCTACCATCTCGTTTGAATCAGGGCTAATTTTTTCCATTTGCCATCGCGACACAGTAAATGTAAAGGGGAAAGGATCTGGGATGCCAAAGACATCCTAAGACAATTCCTAGAGCTGAAGGGGCTGCTTACCTGCAGATGTTGCTGGTATTAACACGTGGGTGCCTGGGATTCCATGAGCTGCAGCCACTCCCAGTCAGGTGTGGCAGGGACGCTCCAGTCTTAGGTCCACCTGATAATGGGAAAATGAACGTGTTTAATGTATGGACTTGCACTTCAGGGAGCTCCCCGCTCCCAGTGGGACCACCCCTCAGCAGATCCCTGAAGAGGGGGTCCTGCCATGTAGGTTAGAATGTGAGCAGCTCCCTGATGCAGGAAGAGAAAATCCCACTCGTTCTTCCTGTCACCGGGGCTCATGGCTTAGAAACACAGTGCCAGGACATTGGTGCTCACTGTCCCTGCCTTTATGGGCATGGACAGCAACCCTGGGGTAGAGGAGAACAATTCTCCTGATTTAGGTCATGGACTGACCAGTCTGCTAAGGCTCCCAAAGCCAGCGTCCTTATCCTCTCCTCCCAGACGGAGGTGTGTTGGAGGCTCTGTGAGGAAACTGCTTGTCTCTAGGACTGAGAGGAGCCTGCCCCAGGGTCTGCAGAGGTAACGTCACACAGTGAGGGGCACCTGAAATATGGGCCAGGTCATATATGTGTGTGTGTATGTTCTCACCAATCCGTATCTATCTGTCATTTGTGTAGCTGTGTATCTGAGAGACAGAAAGCACGAGAGGGAGAGAGAGGAAGAGGGACAGAGAGAGAAAGAGAGAGGGAGGGAGGGAGGGATGGAGGGAGGGAAAGAGACTGAGGGAGAGAGAGAGACCAGGGCAGGCAGGAGAGAACAAGCTGCCTCACCTGCAAGTAAAAGAACCCCAGTGCTCTCCGCCCTCCTGGCTGTGGGCGCTGCCTGATTGTTATTAGCCAAAGTCACCGAAGAAGGGAATGAATGGACCACGTTTAGGTTAAATGATGAACTCAGGCTGCCTGGTGACAAAGTCAGGAATGGAACCCTGTCCCTGCTCCTGGGCTGGGGCTTTCTCTCCTGCCTCTAATGCCCCGACTCCCCCCTCCCAGGCTGGGCACGCACCTCCCCTGCCAGGCTCCGGGTGAAGCCCAGGTGGCAGTGACACTCTCAGCCCAAGAGCCAGGAGGTGGGTCCTGTTTCCCCGAAGCTAACTCCAGGGCCTAATTTTTTGCTTCATATGTACACCAAGTAGCTGGATCTCAATGCTGGCTGCATCTTAGAATCATCTGAGAACCTTTAAAAACACGGGACTATCTGGCCCTCCCCCCAGGATATTATCTATCTAACTTGGCCTTTCTCTTAGGACCCTTGCCTTTGCAGCGGTGCAAAGAAACAGCCCTGCGAGTAGAGTGGGGACCCATGCCTGAATTTCAAAAGAATGATGCGTTTGGTGATTCTGGTGATTAGCACTCACACTGGACTGAAGGCATTTTGAAGCTTCTATCCTTCTGTGACTACAGGATGTCATTTATTTATTTATGTTCAGTATTTGACTTGAAGCTGGCCATTGCTCAGTAAGGTTCACAGCACAAAGGGAAAATCAGCACAAATTTGACTTTGCTTTGGCTTAATCCTATTTTTAGCTATCATTACAGTTGACTTAGTTAAATCTTTCTGGTTTAGCAAACAAATTGCTAAGCCTACTCCAGGGAGCAAAATGGAAGACTTGTGAAAGTTCAGTCTGTGAATGTCAAATGGGGCGTCCGTTCATGACAATGATAAACGCAGAAGTCCTAATTCAATAAGCAAATCTCATTGGCAACAGAAGTGTACACAGAAACTCAGTGACTGATACAACTCAGAGCTGTTGCGTCAGCCCCCATTGGGTCCCTATCTGTAGCCCCGTTTAACTGTATCTACAGGAGGTATCAGGACAAAGGAACAGCGCAGTACTGTTAACATGTGAAATACGGCCTGAGAAATGGAAAATCACGTAGAGAAAATCTCTGAGATGTTGAGCCTGTTCTTGAGTTTCGCCGTCTCTCACAGTTGTGGAGTTGGGGCAGCCAGGAAACAGCTCCTAAGCTCTGAGGAGGGTCTGGACAGCTCCACTGGAAGTTAATTGTCGACGAGGTCTTGTGCTGAGGGTGGTGGTTGTGGGCGGCCTGGTGGACGGGTGGCTGTCTGCCTTCCTGCTCTCAGCTCAGTGACTGTGTCATGTTTGTGTATTTCTTGGTACAGACGGGCAGAAGAAAGTTCAAGAAGAATTTGACATTGACATGGATGCGCCAGAGACAGAACGTGCGGCGGTGGCCATTCAGTCCCAGTTCAGAAAATTCCAGAAAAAAAAGGCTGGATCCCAGTCCTAGCGGGAGAGCCCTTCCTAGTCTGCCAGAAGACACCAACTCCAGCTATCATCTATCAAGAAATTAAGAGAACAACACCTAGAGAAACATTATCTGCACACGATACACACATGCACAGCAGTCCTACAATGCATGTATAGAGACCCACGATATTTACTCCCTTACAGGAAGGTGTAGACAGTGCAACTGTGACTGGCTTAATCTCTATGTCTATTCCCAGTTTCATTCCTTCCTCACTTGATGTTGTAATAAAATGGAGTTAAGATGCGTGATTGGAGTGTGTCTCTCCATTTGTATTAATTTAACAGCTGTCACGGTTAAGATGACTCCGAGTCTTTTAGGTCTCCATCTGCCTCCTTTGTGAGTTAGAGCGGAAGCAAGATGCCTGCTGAGAAGGAGATGTCCTGTTTCAGCCAAGCCTGTCCCATTTGGAGAGCATTAACTGCCCACTTGCGATGGTAATACCTTTTCTTTGAATAGTGCCGGTATTGGAAAGCGGTGGGCAAAGATTCAGAAGTTTCACTGGGGAATTATGATTCATCCAGGAGAACAAGGCAGGGGAGCGCGTTTGGCTGGTGTCACCCAGGTTTACGCAGCAGGCGCCTTTCGGAGCTCGGAGGGTACGTGTCCACCGTCGAGGGCAGATTTGCTGCTTACCTGCAGTTCTCTGCATCCGTGGGGCTCCCCGGGGAGGAGTCTCCCCAGAGTCCTGACTCCTTGCACTGTGACTTGCTACCCATTAGGCTTATTTACGGGCACTTTGGAGAAAGTGTCTGGCTCCTCTGCCTCCCACACCTCTTTACCTGCAACCCTCGCAGGTATATTGTTTGGCACACCCCCAAAAGGGCTCTGCAGGCAGCGGGACAGATCTGTCAGTGGAGGCGGCAGCTCCGAGGAGTCAAGACCTAGGGGGTTGGGTGTATGCCTGCTGGGCATATGCCTGACACCAAGTGTCAGGAAACCCCCCAGCCCCTGAATCTGGCAGCTGTTTGAGCTTTGTCAGGTGGTAACCTAATGTGGCATCGTCAGCATCCCCAGAGAATCCGTGACAGAGCAATGTGCCGCGTGGGGCATCGGCTCCTTTGCCAGCTCCTTAACCAGGGTCAGGGTGCAGCGGGGACCGGCGGAGAGCGGCGGCGCAGTGCGCGCGCGCGCGCTCTCACACGGAGCCCGCTGTGCGGCTGTGCACACGGTGGGCGCCCCGGCGGTGGGGGAAGACCGAGGCGGGGCCAGGCACCAGTCCTGGGCCCTGTTTGCGGTCCAGCGGTACCGGCCTAGAGGGACTGGCACACTTGGGAGAATTAGCCCTCAAAAAATCCACCCAAAAGTGTTTATTGCCTAGTGTAAGGAGACCCCTTCTGCTGGACAGTTCTCTGGGGTCATCAGGGACAGGGCGGGGGACACCTTAGGGTTCCCCCAAAGGGTTTCCAGTTAGAGAAGCACTAGGATCATTTGGGCACCAGCAACCAGCCAGAGATCCTGGGGCTTCCTACGGCCTGAGGGCTCCTCTGACGACAGGATGGCTGGCTGGGGGACACTCCACGGGGAGCTCCCTGAACAGCAGAGATCAGACAGATTGTGATGTGGTCTTTGGAGGCCCCCATGGGACCGAGGTAAAGAAAGTTGGAACAAACCAACTGCATACACAATTCAGACAACCCATCTACACCCTGTCCTTCAGCACCCTACTGTCCCCTCCTCCCCCGAGCATTTCACACCAAGGAACCAGGCCCCTTACTGGTGTGTCTGGCCCTGATGGCCAATGTGGTCCCCTTTGACTCTGATCCTTCTGGAAGCAAACCTGGTTTTATATTGAGGATGCCTTCCCTGTAGGAGGCTCCATGCAAAGCAGGAAATCCTGGGGTATTTGTTCTCCAGTGGGAAGGGACAGGAACCACCCCTGTGGCAATGCTGGCCCCTTAGTGCAGAAGTTGGCGAGAGGGCTGAGGGCTGGGATGTTGGGAACGGTTCTTCAACTGTCTCGACACACTCCCTCATCCAAATTACAGAAATTATAGAACAAATGTGCATCTGACTTACTTTGAGCCATGGGGATGAATTTAAGTTTTCATTTCCCAGGTAAATTCATCAAAGTGTAAAACTCCAGCTAAAAGCAAAGGGAAGACTCTGAGCACACCCCTTCTGCATTGGAATTAGGTGTGTGGAGTCCATGGCCTCATACGGCCAGAGGCCGAAGTGGCTCATGGCACCAGGCTTGGAGGGCCCTTGGGTTCCCGTGGGCTGCAGTGCTCATCTCAGAGGGGGAACTCCCCAGGGTACATCCGAGCGGGCTGCCAGGGTCAGCAAGCTGCAGCATTTCTAATTCAGTTTTGTTTCATGCATATTTCTTGAACTCCTACTATGTGTATGTACTTGGTGCTGTGGCCATCCCTTGTCAATGTGCCGGCAGGCTGGTGGAGAAGAGGCCTAGATAAGGAGATGGCAAAATGGAGAGATTTGTGCTGTGGTGGAACAGAGGGACAGCAGCTCAGCCAGGCTTGGAGAATCACTCAAATCTTCTGACAAGTTGCCACACCCAGCAGATATCAGAAAGATGATGGTAGTAGGTAACCAGGGGCAGGTGGTTGGCTGGTGGAGTCCTGAGTCTGGGCAGGACTCAGGAGGAGGTGTCCAGTTTTGTAGACCCAGAGGCATAGTTAATTAGCACATACCAGCCTGGGAGTCATGGCTGTGCAACACAAACTTGGGTGGGGCTGGAGGCAGGACCCCAACACTGGAGTCCAGGAACTGGATTCATTTTTGACTTAGAGTTGGCCACGTAATTCAACTGGACTTAGAGTTGGCCAAGTAATTGCAGAGAAGTTGCCTACCTTGAACAGCCAGTTTCCTTACCATGAAGGTAGTGATAAAAATCTACTTGGCAAGGTGAATGGGAAAATGTTAAAAATTTGAAATGAGATAAAATACTTGAGTGCCAGGCTCAACGTAGGTGCCTGATAAATGGAAGCCATTAATACTTGTAGGACTGTATGGTAAAGGATCAGTCATTGCCTCCATCACCAACACCCTCTTTAGGGCCTCAATCCAACCCAGAGTTCTGTGGGCCTCTGCTTCTCTTGGCTCAGCCAGCTGGGCCGGTGGTTGGTTGTGACCCAAGAGGTGGGATCAACCAGTCAGAATCCTTCTTTTGTGAATATGAGCTAATGATCAGAGGAACTGAGCCTGTTAATGGGAAGGAGAAGTTGAGTTGGGGCCAAAGCTGGTGTTGTGTCAGGATAAAGCTGCAGAAAAGCTTTTTGAAAAAGAGCAAAACAAACTTTTTTTTTTTGCAAAAAGCTGCAAAAACCCATTTGGAGAGAGATGCAAGAAGATGCACGAGAGGATTTGAGACCCATGATATATAGCCCACAAGAGATGGAGGGTAGCCTAGGCTGAGTTAGTTATTTCGTGGCAATGAGCGAAAACCCACTCACATGAGCTAAAAAAAAGAGAATTATTCAGGTCTCACAGACACTTAAGAATAGAACATCTAAGATGTTGGAGAAAAGAATAGAACTCCATGGGAAGGCAAAATTACATTAAATTTATAAATAAACTGAGACACAGGGGGGAAGGATTGACATCTTTATGTGATTGTCTTTATGGGATTTCATGACTTTCAGTAAACTTGTATAGTTTTCTTCATATAGGTCTTTCTGTTCTATTTCTAAGTATGTCATGGTTTTTGTTGTCCTAAGTAGACTCTTTCCTTAAAGCACTCGAGTTGGTTTTCTGTTACTTATGACTACCTATATCAGGATATTTAATTCTGTAACTACTCATTTTGCTGAACTATAGAATATCTGATCATTTCTCAATAAATTCTTTAGGGTTCCCAGATAACAGTCCTATCATCTGTAAATAACAATAATTTTGTCTCTTCTTTCCACTGTCTTCAGCGCCTTTCTTTTTTCTTGTCTTGTAATCCTTATATTCCATTCTCGTGTTTTGAGGGAGGCTTAGGGATTGTTTCAGTCTCAAGTGACAGTGACAGATCATCCCTAGCCCATCGGGAAATGAACCGAAGAGTTCCAGTTAGGTGGTTGTCTTGTCCAAAGCCAGGCTGAGATTTTGACTTGTGAGATGCATGGAAACACCTGGACCCAGGTGGAGTCATTCAGTGTTCACCTAGACTGGGAGGGGTCCATGCTTCCCTGATGTGTTTCATGTGAACCTTACTGATGTCAGAAATATCACCCTGAGGCCAAGGCCACTGGGGTCTCGTTCCTTTAACCAATCACTGTGCTTTGGAAGCCATCCATTGAGTGTGTCCCGCCCAACATAGGAGAGCCTGTGGCCCACTCGAAGTAGCGACTGGTCCAAAGACCTCAGGAGAGCTAATGACATTCTGCACCCATATTTTTCCACTGGGCATCTCTCTGATTTCTCCGTTTTGTATCCACTTTCCTCTTTTTAGTACATTTCTCTGTGGCAGCCAGACTCCTCTTTTAAGAATGTCATCTTTTCTATGGCTTCCTGCCCTCAAGCTTAACATCCTTCAATGGCTTCACTGTGCTCTTAAGATGAAGCCAGTTTCCTCGGTGTGGCCTGTGATGGTCTATGTGGGGTCGTCGCCTTTCACTTTATGGGTGTTTCAGTTCTTTGAATGCTCCCACATCAGCTCCTTTGAGTGCCCCTGTCTTTACTCGTGTTAACTGCCCTCATTCTTTAGTCCTGAGCTGACATGTTACTTCCTGGAGTAGTTGAGATGAAACTACTTACTGTGAAAGATAAACCCCCAAATCCTGGAGGCTGCACCCAACATAAGTGTATAATACAGAGTGTCTCTGATGACACAGGTGTTATGAATCAAGGCCATCCTCCATGTGGAAGGTTTCTAACGGGCCAGACCGAGAAGTGACTTAACATCACTTGTATGAAGTGATATAAAGTGACTGTGTATCACTGGATGGCAGGCATGTGGCCATACTGATTTTCAAGGGAAGTTGGAAATGTGGTCCATCCGTGCATCATGAGGTAGAGATACAGGCTTTGGTGAACACACTATTGTTTCTGACACAACTCCTCCCCTCCCGCCCCCACTCCCCCACAAAATCCTGCTCTTCAGAGTACTTATTAGAGCTTAAATTTCACATGTACTTATGTGATTTTTTGATTAATGCTAGTCTCCTCCACTCGGCTCCATGAGGTTAGGGATATCAAATTTCTGGCCAGTTAGTTGCTTAGCCAATACTTGCATGAGAATGAAGACCCCACACATGCCCGTGTTTGCTGTTGGCACTTCGGAATGCATCCCTTCCATTGTATTTAG